AAATTCATACACTGGTCTTCATAACATCATAATTCACAATGTCCAAAGCATAGACACTCAGCTGTCCTTTGACAGATGAGTGAACAAACAAAATGTGGTATATTTATATAATGGGATATTATTTAGCCATAAAACAGGAACAAAATTTTGCTACATGCTACAACATGAATGAATCTCGAAGACATACTAAGTAAAATGGGCCAGACACAATAAGTATCATATCATTCCATTTGTATAAGGTGCTTAAAATAGTCACATTCACAGAAAATAGAGTAATAGTTACCAAAGGGTGGAGGGAGAAAGGAATGGGGAGGTGTTGTTTATAGGCACCAACTTGAGACAATGGGAAAGTCCTGGAGATTGATAGTGGTAATGGCATACAACAATGTGAACTCACTTAATGCCACTGAGCCGTACATCTTAAATCATTAAAAAGGCAAATTTTATGTTACACATATTTTATGACAATTTAAAAAAGAATTAATTCATCTCTTCAAGGCTTGAGTTCACGCGCTGCCCCCACTGAAGCCCTTCCTTCTGCTTTATCCCCGTCGTGCCAACCAGACTTGACCTTGTCCTTCGTAAGGACATTTTATCCATTTGAACAGCAAAGACATTTCATGTTTTATTTTTCTTTTCACAGACCTCCCAATCAGGAAAAAAAAATGGAGTAGTCATTCATTTATTCATTCAACAGCGTGACTGAGCACCTACTATGTGCCGGGTATAATAGTGAACAAGACAACAGGGGATCAATGTGGTACAGCACAAAAATGGTAAAGAAGTCTGGTCAAAGAGGCTGCTTCAGTGGGTACTGCCCAGTGAGGGGGAAATAATGCCAGTTGCCCTAACTGCTAGGAAAATTAAACAGGATACAGTTTGTAAAGCAACTGCTTTTTATGGTACTCCCCCTTCCAAATATTCTCAGCTGGAGAAGCCCCCTTTGTGTTTGAAGAAACATCTTCACTGCTGAGAATTGGTTTAGGAATTACAATAGAAACACCTTATCTGCAGATTCACTTTATGAAGTTTCATTTTCCCACAGTTGACCATGGTCTGAAAACAGTATATGGAAAATTTCAGAAATGAACAACTTATAAGTTTTAAATTTCATGCCATTCTGAGTAGAGTGATGAAACCTTGAGCTGTCTTGCTCTGTCTGGCTCAGGCTGTGTCTTATTCCTTTGTCCACTATATCCATGCAGTATATGCTACCCACTGTTATAGTTAGTTAGTCAGTCACTTAACAGTGGGCTTGGTTATCAGATTGAATGTTGTGGGCTTGTAGTGTTTGTATGTGGGGTTTGGTGCTCTCTATGGTTTCAGGCAACTGGTGAACGTACCTCCCACAGTTAAGGAAGGACTACTGTAATAAACCACAAGTCTTTCTGGTGTTGAGTTCTCTTCCCCAGGACATCTTCAACCAACACACCCAGAGAGCCTGAAGTACCACTACCCCAATTAAGTTTGGTGGAAACACTTACACACACCCTCACTCCAGGATGAGGTTATACAATTTGTCTTCAGGACTGTCTGCATCAGAATAGCTCGTTTCTGATCCTGGGGAACTGGGGTGAGGTGAAATTGTACCACTCAAGACAGTTGAACTAAAAATCAGATCACCTGATCCTAGAGGGCAGAAATACAATGAATTTGAATTTGAATGTGAGCAACCCCTTTACAGAAGTTGCAAAGCCACGAAGACAAAGGGCTAAACTGCACCCAGGAATGGAGGAAAAGGGAAACAGCTCTGTGCTTCCAGAGCCAATTCCCATTGACAGCTTTTGGTAGTGTTATTTCAATTTTGTTCTTGGAAAGGGTGGTGACTTCCAATTTTAAATTTACTCTGCATACATTTCTGATGGATTTTTGTTTGTCTAGAGAGGAATTAGGGAAGAAGTAATTAAAGAGGCCAGATCTGGTGGGGGAAAGAGAGAGAAGTCAGGCAAGACAGATGTGGAGATACCCAAGCTTGCAGGGAGGGCTATTTTCAAGAGGGACTTAAAGAGATGGCTACCAAAGGATTTACTGGGGAACAGCCCGGTCACGTTCGAGCGTGGGAAAGTCTGAACTAAGGAGAGCAATAAAGCACAGGATTTATAATAAGGAAGCTCTCTCTCTCTCTCTCTCTCTCTCTCTCTCTCTCTCTCTTTAGTCTTATCTCTGAAAGATGCTTTAACTTTGAGGCTCTGGGCCAGTCCCCTAACTTCTTTGTGTCCCCATTTGTAAACTAGAGATGACAACCCTTGATCTTAAGGACACTAGTCAGTGCCACCCCGCCCTCATTCCCTGTGGGAGGTCAGCTCAAACATGCCCTGTGGAGTGGGGACCAGACCATGTAACCTTGCCCTGCTGACCCATTGACTGCCAGAGCTGGCATCTGGTCAAGTGACTGGTGACCAGAAACTTGAGGCTTCTTTCCAAATGATGAGCTGCACAATCAGATTCTTCTGGAGAATTTCAAAGGAAACCCAAGATCCACTAGAAGTGTCCAGACACTGTAGAAGAGGGCCTGCGCCATGCTGAGCCATTTGCAAGATGAGGGAAGGGAGGCAGGAAGGAAGAGAGAGGAAAGAACACAAAAGGGCAAGACCACAGTCTGCCCTGTCTGGGTTCCAGGTCCAGCTCACACGTAGGAGCCAGCTAAGCACAGTTTCCTGTCCTCCATTTCCCTGAGCTGTTACCCTTCTCACCACAGCTCCACTTTTATTTCTTAAACCCACATGAGCCAGGCCGACCTGGAAGGTGGCTGGTATATGTGGATGACCAGGGCTCTAACTCCCCCGTGGTACCTTAGGCCCTCACTAGCACCCTCCTACCCCCGCCAACACCCCAACCGCTGATGTTTCTCTGACTCAGGGATACTTATCTTTTCATCCATTTTTTGGCCTCGCCCCATCCCCACCAGCAGCCCCATGAGACCAGGACCTTGAGCCTCTTGCTCACGCCCTCTCTGCAGTACCTGCTAATACCTGATATGAAACAGTGTCCAGGTCATATATGAGGACTGGGTGACACTATCCACATAGTCACTAAAGTTACAGCAAATGGCAGGTTCAACTGGGCTTTCCACCTCCCTCTCTTCCTGTGCTCAAGAACCAACTTCCTGCATGGGCTGTGCTGGCAGACTTCTCCTCCCCAGCAGGTGTTCCACTGCCCCATGGCCTCTTCCTTGGACCTCCTCACTCAACACCCTGCTCCGTGGGAGAGATCCCAGGGTACCCACACTCTCCAGTGCCGCTGGGTTTCCTGTGTTCTCAGCTCAGTCCTGTTCTCCTCTCTCCAGTCTCACCTCCTTTACTGTAGTTTCTGCCCTTTGGCTTCTGCAACAGAGTCACCTGAGTTTGAGATGGTCCCCCTTCCTGCCTCTGCCCCTGCTGTCCTTCCTACCTGGAAGGTCACCCCCACTCACCTTGTTGTCATCTCACTAACTCTAACTCAGCTCAGCCACCTCTTTCTAGACTTACCAGACATCTTCCAGCTGGCTCAGAACCTCCCTGGGCTTCCACAATCCCTGTACGTCCCTCATATCAGAGGACCTACCTACCAGGCTTTGTTGTCATTGTTCACTTGCTATTTTTTATCACAAGATGGTAATAAATAGCCTGGCACTTCTTATAACCACCAATAAAATGTATAAGTAAATGCAAACCACATTGGATAGCATGCTCTGCTCTTTGCTAGCTGTGTGCCCTTCAACAAGTCCTTTGCCTTTTTAAGCCTCAGTTTCTTCAGCTGTCCTATAGAAATAGTAATACCCACATTATAGGGATATTGAGCAAAGGAAAGGACGTTGCATGTGCAGCCCTTAGCACTGTGGCTGGCTGGTGAGGCGGCTCCATCTGAGTCAGCTGCAATGGTAGCYAAGAAAAGTATTTCTACAGACCCCTGCTGCAGAAGGTTTCCAAACATCAGAGCTAACTCTGCAGTCCTGAAAAGAATTAAGAGCCTTTTAGAAATCAATGAATCTACCTTAAGTGTTCTTCAAGAAAGTTGAGAACTTTGTTAAGAAACCAGACACCCAGCACAAACCATGTTTTCAAAAGTGAAACCCCCAAAGTTTAAAGGAAAACATGGATCTCTTTGCGGGGGATAGGAATGTTAAAGGGCAGGACAGAAGAATGGCAAAAGGGAAAGGAGGAGGGTATTGCTTGGTGGAGGAGGTGCAGGTAGAAAGTCAGAGCCATCACGGACAGGTGCTTCAGGACAGGTGCTGGGCTGCCTCGGCGGAAAACGGGTTCTCCCGGACTTGTTGAAGTGGCCCTAAACATTCTAGCCCTTCTCAGGAGAACCTGGGGCACAGACGCCCTAAGAATAAGTAGGAGGCGGCAAGTAAATGTTTTCAGGCACCCTATGTGTGCCATGAGAGATGGCTGCCCAGAGAGGTTGCAGGAGGGTGGAGAAGCCCCCCAAATAACCCCGATCAGGCGTTGACTGGGGGCCCCTAGAGTCAAGGAGCCCCCAAGTAAGGTCTGAGTGGCCTCCACCTCGACCCCCACCTCTCCCCTCGAGGTAGGCCAAGGGCAAAAGCGCTCTGCCTCGAGGGTCAAGCAGGAGGCGCTCTAGGCACGTCTCCATCTCCAGGCTAGGACCTCAGTCTCCTCCTCCTGGCATTGGGTTTGCAGACCCGCAGTTGAGAAAACAGATCTTGGAGACCTACTGGAGCTTGCTCCTCCTGCAACCTCCCCCAGGGTGTGGGAACGTCTCAGCCCCGTTCCTCCCGCCGCCTCCCGATCCGGACTCGAAGGAAGTACTAGGCGGCCAGGGCAGGGAGCCGAGGCCGGGTGCGCACTGACTTGAGCGCTGACTGTCCGCGCGGGCGGGCTGCGGAGTTCCCCAGCGGGGGCGGCGGCACCGTCGCGCCCGGGTGGAGACCCGGTCCAAGGGCCCGGGGCGCGGCGGCAGCTCCAGGAGGTCCGGCCGTGAGCGTGACCTCACTGGGAGGGGCCAGCGCGGCGGCCTGGGCGCCGAGCCGAGCGCAGAGAGCGCAGCGCCGGAGCGGAGCTGGGAGAGCGCAAGCCGTGGACCCGATGGAGCGGTACAAAGGTGAGGCGCGGGGTCCCGCGCAGAGCGCACCCACTCCCTTCCGCCTAGTCCTGTGCGGGGAAGAAGGGCTAGGGCTTATCCCGCCGGGATCCAGGTGAGCAAAGTCGACTGCCCCCGCCCAGGCAACCTGAGCCGAAGAGGGGGCGACAGAGGTGGGCTCCTGTGGCGGCCCCGGCTCGGGCCCTTTGACCGTCGTGGGAGCCGAAGACGGCAGTCGGCATTGGGGTGGTGGCTACGCTTCCCACCTGTAGAAGGAGAGGGTGCGCCCCGCGTCCCCCTCTCCACCCCTACATTGGCCCCGGGGGGGAAAAAAAAAGATGCCTAGAGTCGAGGGGCCCCAAGTAAGGTCGCAATCGTGCCGCGGTGCCGGGGCAAAGGGGTGAGTCGTTTGTTGGGTCTTCTCGCACGGGCGCCGGATGGGGGGTTTCCTGCAGATCCTGGGACAGAGCCAACTCGGGAAGAGGGTGCGGGAAGCGCCTGGGGTGGCGGGGTGGGCACGCTGTTAAGTCCTGGCTAGATCGGGCCTCTCCTTTCGTCACGCAACTTGGGTAATGTTTTCTCTCTGAGCCCTTCTCAGATCCCACCACCCTAAGCTGAGTGGGGTGTGGAGGCTGGGGGCCCGAAAGCGGTGCCCAGCAGGTGGAGCGCCTGGAGGTTTCCCGGCCCAGGGGCTTCGCCGAGTTGCACAGCTGAGCGAGCTTTGGGTTTGGCCCTGGCCGGGAGGATCTTGGCCAAATCCTGTTGTGCCAGGTGCCCAGCTAGCTCACGTTTTCAGGCCTGGGGACTTGGACTCCAGAAGCCTTGGTTTGCGGGGCTTTTGAAAAAGGAGCTCCGAGAGCTGCCCCTTGAGCAGAACGCTGGCCCCTCCGCCCCCTCCCTTTGGAAAAGCCTTTTGCTCTCGTGCTGGGTTGGTCTTGGCCAAACCTGCCAGAGGAAATACTGCTTCTATATTTGTTTTCCCCTGGGATTGAGGAATAAAGGAGAATGCTCGGCTTCCCAAGGAATCTCACCCTCGATGGTTTCTGAAACTGACATAAAGGGACATTTGGGACGGGCTTTAGTTCCCTAAACCAGTATTGTCTTTTGACTTTCTTTTGCCTTTTCTCATCTGAGTCATTTGGTTACTGGTGAAGGCAAAAGAACCAAATCCCAGACAGTGCTTCACCTGAACCAGTAGGGTCTTTCTTTGGCAGAGGGAAGCTAGTGGGGGAAAGGGGTAACTGGGTCAAATTTGTTGACGGTGAATTTTTCTGTGACGGCCTCCCTGATGCCTCTCTCATGTTTCTAATCGGGGAGGGAGGGCATTAATCTCCAATTCTGCTGGGATCACGATCTGTTTTGTTGTGGAATACATCTTTATGCAGTCTCAAACACTGGAGGAGGTCACAGCCCCTCTCTGTGTATTCCTTCCACCCTTTGGGGGAATTCAGGATTTGGGTCACCTCCTGACTTGAAGGTGGCTCTAGAGTCCTTTCAGTTTTCTGAATTGTGAAGCCGAGAGGGTATCTGCCCCAAGATCTAGGGTCTGTGTTCTGAGCTACTTTCTCAAGTCAACAGATCCAAGGACCAAGGTAACAGGTGCCTTCTTGCCAAGTGCCCAACTTCTCACCACTAATCGTCAGCAGGGTTCGGTGTTAATAGTTTCTGACTTGGCTCTTGACCTGATAAAGTCCTCTTAGTTTATCTTTCTCTGGAGGGAGTTGAAAATCCTCCCACCCTAGAAGAGGATCAGTTGGGGGCTTCTTGCCAACTAAAGAAGTTGTTTATTTTCTGGTAACACATGTTATCTGCCTCACCGTTTTGCAGTAAATCAGACACAGTGATGAATGGACAATCTTGAGAATTCTCAAGATTGCAGAGGGTAATCTAACTCATCAATTAAGCTCATCTTCCAATGTTGGACTCATGAGAAAAAAATCTTTCAGTTCTCAGTGTCATCATGCTATTAATATTTTTGTTTTACCTTTCACCAAGGAATTTTGTTCCCCCTCTCCCCCAATAGAATTCTTGTTCTCTTGAGAGGCAGACGAGTTGTGCTTTGAACACTCATTGAATGGAAACATTGGTCTATGCAAAATGAATAATGCTGGGCTCCAGATCTGATTGGCAAGTGCCCCTTTAATAGAATCAATATTCTCTTGCTGGTCAGAGATTGAGGGCTTTAAAAAAATGTCAAATTGAACATTTGTGGAGTAATTATAGCGGCTTACAAGGTTTGTTTGGATTCTCAGAACCTATGTAAAAATTATAAAGAAAAATTCTTAAGTGTAATGCTACTAAATGTTTTCTTAATTGTTCATTTTTTCCCCTTAAATACCTCCTGTCTTTCTACATTCTCAGGGTTGAGCTCTCCCTCTCCCACATAGGTAGACTACCTCATCACTGTCTTCACATTCTCAAAATACTTTCTCTAATTTGTAAATCTCCTATAGCTACTGTTTATAGGAGAAATTGCTTTTCCACGTTCCCCAGCCTGCATGTTACTCATTACACACACCCCCAAAATAGCCTATCATTTTTAGGCTCTGGGCTGATTTTCCATTGTCATGTAGGACATAAAGAGAGGTCCAGAACTCAAGGATGGTGGAACCACTCTATGCCTAAGACAAAAACAAACAAACAAAACAAAACAAAACAAAACCAACAACAAACAAACAAAAAACCTTCCAGACTTCTCTTCTAGTCTTTTCCAAGCCCATCTGCTAGATAGCTATGACTTTAAGCAAAAATGAATCTGTATAAGCAGTAAGACCCACATAAGTGTCCAGCCTGTGGTGCCAAGTCCTACAATGTGCCTTGAAAAGGTGCCCATCTATGGGTGTTTCCATATTTATGACTCTCCTAAGAGCATCCTGTATCACTGTGCAGGAGCCCATTGACTGAACTCACCCCGTGTAGTCAAGGATTCTGGTTCCTATTGCTCTCCCAGCTGGTGAGTGGATCCAGGGCCAAATGCGACTGACCTACTATCTGTGGATTGCACTTGGAACATCACGCCGAAGCTTCCTGAAATTGCATCATATTTGGATCCAAAGGGGCCTGGTTGAGATTTTCAGACTCTGGATCAGAGAAATTGGTTGAAATTGAAATCCTTTTCCTGTGTTCTTTGGTTTCTGGGTCTAATCCCCTGCTTCCCCACTTAGCTCTAGGGCACTGGACATGGAAAGGAATGGCAAAGAGTCAAGCCAGGCAAATACTTGAAAACTTGTCTAGGAATTCTGAGATCTGTGATCAGAGAAGGTTGAAAAGGAAAAATGGATGAAGAGCGATGAGCAGATTAATAACATTTAATTCGACATTCGGAATTATTTCCCACACCTAGGAGTTCTAGTTTTTGCCTATTGACATTCCACCTATGACAGTGGAATAATCTAGGGGCTTTAAAAATTATAAATGTGGGGGAGCAATATGAAAGTGCAGGCCCAGCAGGGCATAGTGGCACACTCCTGTAATCCCAGCAGCTGGGGAAGCTGAGATAGGAGGATCGCAAGTTCAAAGCCAGCGTTAGCAAAAGAGAGGCACTAAGCAACTCAGCGAGGCCCTGTCTCTTAAAAAAAGAACAAACAAACAAACAAAAGAACAGGCTCCACCTGACATTCTGGTTTAGTTGTCCAGGACGGTGACTTGGGCATTGTAGTTTTAAAAGGTCTTCAGGTGATTCTAATATGCAGTCAAAATTGAGAGTCATGCTTCCTTTTAAAAAGTGAAATGTCAAAATAGAAAAAAGTGCCATGGTCCTTTGGAATCAGGCAGTGATTCCAGGGACCCCCCCCCCCCAGGGATATCAAAATCCAAGGATGACTGAGTCCCTTACATGAAATGGTCTAAGTTGCAGATAACCTGTACATGTTGTCTCATATACTTTAAAGCATCTGTGGATTGTTTATCATATTAGATACAATATAAATAGTTATTATACGGTATTGTTTAGGAAATAAGGACAAGAAAAAAGTCTGAATATGTTTAATAGAGATGCAACCCTGGTGTACCTAACGACATAAGCTACACAGTACCTGTTAGCAACAACATACCTTTTGGTTGAATCTGAGGATGCAGAACCCTGGACTATGAGGGTTGACTGTAATTATATAAACACCTTCCTCACCTAAAAGAAAGAAAAGCAGGTGCGGAGTGAAGGGGATATCTTCTCCTAATCACAGGTTCCTTGACTGAATCTTGTGACACCTACAGAAATCTAGTGTCGGTCACCTTCAGCTATCATAGGCTTGAAGACGCTGTGAAAGTGCCGTTGAAAACGGTCTCCAGTGTGGAATCCTAAGCTCACCGTTTGCTCATGGTACTTGACCCTGAACTCTCCTGACTTTGAAGCTCTTTGTGTGGCACTGAAATGGTCTGAGACAGAAAGACGGAGAGGTCACAGTGGGTGCTGAGAGGCCCCTGCCGTGGGGGAATTCTGCCTTGGGCCCTTCCCCTCTCCTGAAAGGGTGGGAGCTCTGGGAACTGGGCTGGATCCAGCACAGTGAAAGGGCCAGGAGGGGCCACGGCTCTTCAAAGCCGAGGGAGCGGTGCCAGTTCTCTTCCAAATCCTTTTAATGACAGGAAATGTTTCTCTCAAGACTTCTGTCTTTCAGGGGAGGAAGACTTCCCCAAGTCTAGGGGGAGGATGATGGCATGTTCTAACCAGACCTGTAGCAGAGATAGGAGGGGGCACAGTCACCGACCAGGGGGGGTGGGCAGCAGCTCAGGAACCCCAAGACCCGTGTGCTCCTAGGATGAGACACGGAGCTCTCCAGGCCTCGGTTTCTCCATCCTGAAATCAGCCCCCAGTGTCCCCCCATGTGACTTTGCAACCACTCTTCCATGCTAGTTGCTCTGTGGTCACGGAGGAATCTTTGGAGGGAGGACATGTCTTGGGGAGGGGAGCCAAGTGAGGGATCGCTTAGGATCGCGATTCTTATAAATAAGACCGATTTCCTGTGGAGAGCTGGAGCGTCGCAGGCTCAGTGGGAAAGGGAATGCCCTAGACTATGTGAGGAATT